CACACCAGCCCCTCAAATTCAGAGTCCACCCCCACCGGCTCCCTAAGTCAGACAGAACCAAGCCCCGCCAGCCCTAGCTCCTCAAATCCAGAGACAGCTCTCCCGTCTGCACCACCAGGGACAGTCACGCACCCCAGCGCTGGGCCCCCCAGTTTAGAGTTCACCTATTCCACTCAACCCAGTTCCACACACTTGAACTCCCACTGGATTTCCACTCCCCCCAGCCCTGGCCAGGGTAAGTATGAAGAAATTGGGGCTCCTGGCGGCAGCGGGTGGTGGGAGGGGGTAAGAGCTAACAGGGGTACCTGGGTGCAGTTCTGGGGTTGACCACAAGGGGGAGGCACAGACCCAGGAGATGGCGGGGAAGGGCCCCCCTCCCCCACCCCATGGACCAAGGTGGTTCTAGGGGAGAGTCTGTGCACGTTAATGAAGGGTCCCGTATACGGGGACCTGGGGACCCACCGCTCTGCGCAGGAGAGACCGCAATACCCATGTGCAAAAGGGACAGGTGATCAATTCTATATTTGATTGTAAAATAACGAACTAGGGGCTGGGGCGTGGCCCAGCGCTAGAGCACGTGCCCACCTCGCACCAGGCCCTGGGTTCAAACCCAGTGCCACCAAAAACACCAGCTCAGGGCCCTGGTGGGTGTCCCCGACGGGGGAGGGTGGGGCTCAGGGCTGACCCCGGTCTGGTCTCTTCCCCAGGTGACCCTGGCGTCCCCACGTCACACAGAAACCCAGGCGTGGTGGTGGCCGTGTGCTTGTTGGTCTCTGTCCTTCTCATCGGGTCCGTGGTAATGGCCGTGAGGTCCTGTCACCGAGAAGTATCCAGGTTCCATAAGCTGGATGAAGAGTCCATGGTGAGTTGGGGGCTCCGCCTGGCCAGGGGCGGGGAGGGCAGTGGCTTTCCCACACAGGGCGAGCCCTGCCGCACAGCCTGATGACGACTGTGTGTTCCGTCTCCAGGGAAGTGAGAGCCAAAGGTCATCCTTTGCCCACCGCACACCAGAGTGACTGTCCTGGGGCCAAGAGAGACCGGGGCTCAGGTGGGGCTGGGACAGCTGAAGAAATAAACCCCCTCCTGTGCTGCGCGGTGGCCAGGATCTGTAGCCACAGCTGCTTGGGTGGCTGAGGCAGGAGGATCGCTTGAGCCCAGGAGTTTGAGGCCAGCTTGAGCAACAGAGTGAGACCCTCATCTAAAAAAATAAACAAAGTCCCTGTGGTTCATCGGAGGCTTCCTGAGTCATAGATTCATGTGACCAACATTACGGGGGTGCTAACGTGTGCCATAGCCTGTGCTGGGGGCGTGTCCATCATAGGGAGAGGGAGAGGCGGACAAGAACCAGGAGATGGCTGGGCACAATGGCTCGGGAGGCTGAGGCAGGAGGATCGCAAGTTGGAGGCCAGTTTTAGCAATTTCATGAGGCCCTAAGCAACTCAGCAAGACCCTGTCTCTAAATAAAATACAAAAAAAGGCTGGGGATGTGGCTCCGTGGTTAAGCAGCCCTGGGTTCAATCCCAGGTACCAACCCACCAACCCACCAACAAATGAATAAATAAGTAAAAGAACCAGAGGGCCTCAGTGATCATCAGATGGCACTGAGGGTCAGAGGGTCACAGGTTGGGGCTGATGCTGCCCCCCACCCAGGGTCTGGTGTATCCAGGTT